TTAAAAAACAAGAGGGACAGGCCAATCAGATGTTAAGTTCTCCAAGTTCTTTTCATATGATTTGTCCTCTCTGGCGCCAAGGTGTGTGGCAAGTTCTGGATATCCTTGGCATGAATAGCCTCCCAATTCCTACATGTGTCTGTAAACTTCTCAACAGACCGAGATGTCCACGTTTTTGTTAGGAAGGCAATAAACTGCACTTGCGGACTGCTCAATCTTCAATCACCGAGGGGAGCTTGAGCAAACCCAACAGTGTGAACAGAAAGGAACAGCTGGCCATAAGCAGTGTGCCTCTGCAACGAGCGAACGAAACACGCCTGGAGACTAGGAAAAGCGACAGGAGGGAAGTTATGGCAAGACTCCTGTACCCGTTTAGGCTGGGAAGCAGGCTGGGGGGCTGTGTAGGATGTGCCACTGCGCCCTTGCAAATCCCTGTCCCTCCTAAAAGTAGGGCCTAATGCTCAGGGCTGTCTCCACAACTCCACGCATCCTGAAGAATTCTAGGCAAACACTGAAGACGTTGTATCGGCACACCCACGTCACTTAGCTCTGCAAGGTAGCTGCACCTGTCCCGGGACCCACGGCAACCAGCAGCCAGGGACTACGTTAAGGTTAGGAAAGGCGCCTGGCGCCGCTCGGACTCACAAACACGGTGGCCTTGGCCGCTTTGCGCAGCCGCAGGTACTTGAGGCGGTACTTCTCGTTCTGGCTCTTCTTGGGCAACTTTTTCATCTTGCCCTTGCTGGGGTGCAGAGGGGCCCGCGGCGAGGAGGCCAGGCCGCCCCACAGGCTCATGGTCCGGCCCCGCGACCGGGGCTGCAGACCGCGGGCAGCATCGGCTCCCGGACCGGCCGGCGGGGCCGGCAGAAGCTCACTCCGGGAACCTAGTCCTCCCGGAGATCTCAAGGGGAACGGCCAGGACACAAGACACGCCAAGCCAACCAGCCACCGGCTCCTGCCAGCACTTCCGCGTCGCTCTCGGGCGTCAGCCCAGCCAGGAAATGGCGCGAGCACCCGCCCTGCGTCACATCCGGGGCTGACCTCGGGTTGCTGCAATGGAGTTGGAGCGAGGACTTGGGTAGGCACAGCTGTGTGCGCGGACGGGCGGCCGCGGCCTGTGGGACTCCGCCGCCTTCCCGGGTCCCTTCCATCCTTCGTGCACCTTGTGCACTCGTTTCCTATGCAGAGATCTTCCTGGCATCGGGGACCACCAGAATAGAAGACAGTTCTTGGCCCTCTGAAGCTTGGATTTTAGCCACGCAGATGGAAACTTTAACGAAGCAATTTTAACCAAACGTTGGCTCAAAGTCGGCTTGAAATTGCCATATACAGACAGATCTTTAGGAAGCAGCACTGGTAAACGCCGGTGCCTTAAGCCTTGCGTTCTCCCCTGTGCGGCTAACTACTTGAGTCAATCTCTGATACACACGTGGGTTTTGTTTTTCTTCCCCAACACAATCTATTGGTACACTTTGCAATAAGGGAGGCAAGTGGGAATTTTCAGTTGCACTGATATACAACATAGGCTTTTTATTAAACATGTAGATTTCTGAAGTTCTCTATGGTAATTCGGGGAAATGTTGTATAGCTAAGTGCTTCGAATCGCTGGAGAATTTATAACAATCAGAGTTCAAGGAAGGACTTCCTTTTGTGAGGCTTGCGACCACAGTGACAGGCACGCAGCAAATGGCTGTGACATACAGAGAACGCGTCTGCAACTCTATGACTGTTCGCGTTGTTAAGTACCCTCCCCTTTATATTTTTTAAAAAGGTGTATTTATATATTCACTTCAAAGGCAGAGTTAGAGAAGGAGAGAGAGAGAGAGAGCTGTCCTCTGTTTCACTCTCCAAAAGGCTGTGGCAGCTGGAGCTGGTGGGTCCAAAGCCAGGAGCTTCTTCCCAGTCAGCCACGGGAGGCAGACACCCAAGCACCTGGGCTGTCCATCCTCTGCGGCTTTCCCAGGTGCAGCATCAGGCAGCTAGGTCAGAGTGGAGAATCCCACACTCAAACCAGTTGGGTGCTGGTGTAGCAGGTGGCTTTACTCACTGAGTCACAGCATCCGGCCTTGTGGGCCCTTTTATTGGTGCAGTAAAGTCCAGTGTGTCTTTACAAATGTACTGAGGCAACCATATAAATTCACGTTTGGAAAAGGCAGGGATTATTTTCAACCAACAGAATACTCACGGGAATGTCTTTGAATATTTAGACACTTTACCTTGAATCTCAATAGTCTCTGTAATAGGAAGGCATCCCCCTCCTTGTGCTTCTCTCATCTTCCTCCAAATGGTGTTTGCTGATTGTCCGATGTTTTTGTTGAACGCTATCCTGGCAGACTTTTGAATCTGATGAAATATGCATAATTAATTTTCATGTACTTGCATCATATCTAGTGGGAAGGAAAGTGCTGTCCTTTTCTTTCAGTTTGCAGGTTGGTCTGGCCAATGTAATTCAATGGAGTTTACCTCGAGATGTTTACTGTTTTTCTTCATTGGAAATGTTTTTAACCATTCTGAAATATTTCTTGCTAATTTTTAGAAATTCAGAGAACATAGTACAAGAAAGATTTAAAAACTGTAATGGTTCACTTGGCATGAACTGATTTGAACATGTTAAGGTGTGTGTTTAATATTTTCCTGTGGTAGTGAATGTAACGATCCCTTTTTATTCACTTATTGTAGTCATTTCGCAGTGGTCATGATTTTTCTGGAAACATAATTTCGAATGAATTGGTAATATTCCACTTGCACCTGTATTATATTTAAAAATTTAAAGATTTATTTGTTTGTATTGGAAATTCAGATACACAGAGAAGATCTGTTCGCTGATTCACTCTCTAAGTGACTGCATTGGCCAGAACTGAGCCAATCTGAAGCCAGGAGCCAGGAGCTTCTTCCAGGTCTCCCAGGTAGGTGCAGCGTCCCAAGGCTTTGTGTTGTCTTTCAGTATTTTCCAGGCCACAAACAGGGAGCTGGGAAGTGAATCCGCTGGAATATTAACTAGTGCCCATATAGGATCCTGGGCATGCAAGGCAAAGCTTTAGGCACTAGGCTACTGTGCTGGGCTCTGGCTGTATTGTATTTTGCATACTTATTTCTACATTGCTTTATCTTTTTGGTCAGTTGCTGTGAAGTCAATTTTTGTGCAAAAAGCTCTTTCTCTGTAGGCAGCAGGTTGGGTTGTGTGCTCCCACATACTTGATGCTTCAGAGAGTGTGCGCTCTGGAGTAACTAATTGACTGTTGGGTTGTCAGAAGGGTATTTATTTAGTGCCTGCTGTGACACAGCCTTTAGGGTGCTTAAGAGGGAAAGATGGACAAATAACTTGACAGCATTGATACAACGTGGTAAGTTTATTTAGAGGTAGCTTTGCTTTATATGCTAGCACTCAGGAAAGGAGGGAGGAGGCAGTGGTGACTTGTTGAAGGACATATCCCTGGCAAGACCTGAAGGGGAAGTAGGTGTTGGCCTGGTGAAGAGAAGAGGAAGCATCCTTGTTCAAAGGAGAATATGAGAAACATGGGACCTGCAAACATTGATTAAAATGAAAGAAATGTGGCAGAGGATCCAAAGGAGGGGCTGAAGTATTGGGCATGGTTTGCACCTGCTGAGGAGTGGAGCATTTGTGCAATCATCATAGGAAGTATTGATAAATGACTACATCAGCCATTTTATTGTTAAATGATATGTTCTGAACTTCTCAGAAGCAATGTGATTCTTTTATTTGCTTATATAAAGAGGCACTTAATGTCCTATTCAAAAATTTTATCTAGAGTTGGTATGATGGCATAGTAGGTTAATCTTCTGCCTGTAGATTTGGCATGCCATACTGGTGCTGGTGTGACTTCAGGCTGCTTTATTTCCAATCCAGCTCCCTGCTTATGGCCCGGGAAGGTGGCAGATGGTGACCTAAGTCCTTAGGACCCTGCACCTATGTGAGAGACCTGAAGGAAGCTCCTGGTTCTTGGCTTTGGATTCTCAGCTCTGGCTGACACTGCTATTTGGGGAATGACCCACTAGATGGAGACCTGCAATCTCTCTGTCTCTTGCCTCTATCTCTGAACTATGTCAAGTAAAAAATAAACTAATTTTTTTCTTAAGAAACATAATATGTAGTTCTAAAAGGAAATGTAAAATCAGAGATGCTTCCAAGTGGTTGCTACTCAGTGATTAACTCTAAGTGAAGATACAGCATCCTCTGCAGTACTAAAAGAATAGCTTGGCTATTAAGGGTTGTGAAGGGTCCACAGACCAGACCTTTGTCCCCCAGTGAGAGAAGGTCTCCAGTTTAGATGATGAGAGGTGTATCTGGGTACCTTAAGGCTCTTCTCATGGCTGATGAGTGATCCTGGCCCCCTGATCCTCTGCCCTTAAACTCCAAGAACAGATTACACATTGAAAGCATCATTACTTTCCAATTCACTGTTCAGGTCACAGGGTGCCTAAACAAATTTGATAATTACCACAAAGTGAGATGCACACATTTCTAGAAATTTAGGCAACACCAAAGGTTTTACAGAAGTTTCATGTTTATTAGCCTCTTACCAGATTGTCCTGTTTGCTGTGTGGGGTAAGCCAAGTGTTGTATTCTAGAAGGACCATGAGTGAATGTAGCAAAAAACCCACAAAAACCAAAGCCAAACCAAACTAAACCAAACCGAACCAAATGAACAAAACCAAAAAGAACCCCCCAGAATGTCTTCAGAAATAACCTTTAAAGTCTTCTTTCCTTGTGGAATACCTAGATTTATCTTTACTTTCTTCAAAGAATATACTAGACCTAAGTTTTTCCATAAATTTTAATTTTGTGATTCTTAAGCTCTTTCATATTTATTTTCATGTTTAATTATGCCTTCTTTTCTTTAGAGAATATAATGTGTGACATAGGATTCCGCTAAATCCAAACTTAGCATCTCCGAAGTAGGTATTTTTGTGTGTTGGCATTGGGTGAAGAAGAAGGGAGATTTGCTTTCCACAGGCTTCCTTGCTGTATGATGTCTTCACTACAGTTGTTCATCACATGCCCGGTGGGTGAGGTGTTTTGGTTTTGAGGGTTCTAAACCAGCCAGTAAAGTCATGAAATCAACCACTGTGTCAATATTGTGCTTCTGGGTTGTTGTGTCCTTCAATACACACAAGACATTTAACCAGCTAAAAGAGATGAGCTCGGAGATGTTGGCTCGGAGGAAGAGAAGGATCAGATTGAGGTCATTGATGGGGCATCCCAGCATTTTCTTGCTAAGGAGATCAAAAGCTGGGAGCATCTCATACAGGGATAAGAGCCGTTTGTCCCACCGACAGAGCTGTGTGAGGTTGTATATTATCACTGGAACCAGCAGGGTGTAGACTGTAACACTGGCGAGGCTGACAATCTGGAAAATGGACAAGGAAGTTAGCCTGCAGGTGATCAGGTCAGGGACATGAGTCTCATCACTCAGCAGGCCTGTCTTGATAGAGCAGCTGAATTCTTCTTGGAAGAAGACGGCCAGGTGGAAGTGACCAAGGTACAGGTAGGCGGCTGAGGTGAAGAGGAGCAAGAGGGAGTTCCTCAGGAGGTAGGTTGCCACTAGTGAATGTGAGCGCTGCTTGCATGCCAGGTATCGCTCCAGCAAGGGGAATTCAAAGTACCGCTCTTTGCGAGCCCTGACCAGGGGAAAGAAAAGAGGCAAAGTTAGAAAGGTTCGTTTACAACTCTACTCCAAGGGAGTCCTGTGAGTATATATGCAGCATGGCATCCTTGGCTTACATGAAAATCTGCCTTCCCAGATTCCCATACTCTCTTGATTATCTAGACACCAAGTATAATCTTAAACCTAGTGAACAGGAAGTGATTGGTGAATATTTACACAAAATGTATTCCCAGCAAGGCAGACTAAAACTCCAAGCTGAGGTAGGATCACTGGGAGGCAACAGGCTTATGGTATCAGTATTGTAACGGGAGTTCTTGCAATGTGTTCTGGTTCTTGGCTTTTGTACTGCTTTGCTTTTCTTCCTATCACTTATTCTAGCACATATTTTACCAAGTAATCTGTATACCTCTTTCTTGTATTCCATCAAAAGAATGTAAGTCCTACATGAATAATTTCTTCTCTCCTCCCACCTCTGCCATAGCACTCAACACAATGCCTGGTACTCAAATGATTTAAATAAATGATTTATTTAGGGGAATTGGAAGAAACTGTCCAAATGAATGGAAAGTTTTTGTCAACTGGTAGAAGTTTGAAAAAGTAACTGTAGAGTACCTAGGACAAACATATGGAAGAACCTGAATATTTTTGGCAGACATGGAGGGAACTACTCGTTTCTGAACAGAGAACTAGTGACTGAGAGTGATTTTAGAGAGATTAGACACTAGTGTGTTCATCAGCAAGTCACAGGCAGAATCCTTTCTTCTCTCTGTTAACAGAAATGCCAGAAAGCTCATATAATAATATGTTAGGCATTTTACATGCCTGAGAAGGATGGTGGAGAATATAATTTTGAGATTACTAGGCAAGGACATCATTTTAATGCTAGACCAAATCCTTTACAAAAATACAGAAGAGAAAACTCACTTTTCCAGCTCATCCCAGAAAACATGAGGATCGGAGCTCTCCTGCCGGATCTTCAACATGTGCTGCACTAAGCGGATGGCGCGATTGTAGGACTTGTCCAGTTCGCTGATGATGAACAGCAGATCTGAGCTGAGAATGGGCACAGCTGCATACTGCCACAGCAGCACGGGCAGGTACATGGCCATAGCCAGAGCCAGCAGAGAATAGGGGAGGGCCTGCAGAGCAAGAGAGCTGACTGAGGAGGGAGCCCAGGATGCTGGCCCGTCAGTGACAGTTCTTCATGAAACACTCTGCTCTTCCCAGTTCTCATCTTAGGAGGGAGAGAGACAGAGACAGAGAGAAAGACAGGGAGATGTATAGAGAGATCCTTCTCCCCATCTTAGATGTGTTTGAGTAGCTATTCTGTGTTCCTGACCAACAATGACATCCCAGGAGAAAATTCCAATGTCTTTCATATAACTTCCTCTGACTCTGCCAGTGCACAGTGGATGCTTGATAACGCCAACTTACAACACTAGACACTGTATGGCAGGGATGCAGGTACAGAAACTGACTTCTAAGGGTGCACAAACCTTGTCTCCTCAACTACCCTACTGACCACCCGAGATGCAGGACTCAAAGTGGGCATCTACCCAGCTCCTGCCTCCTCCAGTTTAGACACTGAAGTCCCAGTCTTCAGTATCTCATTGGGAAATTGCAAATAGAGTCATTGCAGATGTAGCTAGTTAATTTAAAATGAGATCATACTGAAATAAGGTAGCCTCTGATCTGTAAGAACTGATATCATTAAAACAACAACAAAAACAAGCGAAAGGACTGGGCAGTACTGTGTCATAGTAAGTTAAGCCTTTGCCTGTCTGGCATCCTATGTGGGCATCAGTTTGTGTCCCAGCTGCTCTACTTCCAAAGCAGCTTCCTACTTGCTTCCTGGGAAACTAATGGAGGATGGCCCAAGTTCTTGCGTTCCTGCACCCACGTGGGAGACATGGAGGAAGTGCCTGGCTTTGGATCAGCTCAGCCCTGGCCATTGCAATCATTTGGTGAGTGAACCAGCAGATGGAAGAGCTCTGTCTCTTCTCTCCATAAATCTTCCTTTTAAATTAAAAGTAAGTAAATCTTAAAAAAAAGTACTATCAAGTGTTAGACATGCACACAGCATTTGTAAGGTGATGTGTGTGAGCCAAGAGGAGGGCCCTGAAAGGTCTTTCCCTCCTGACCCTCAGAGCAACCGACACTAATTCTTCGATCTTAGACTTCTGGTCTCTGCAACTATGGGAAAATGCATTTCTGTTTAAATCACTCAGTCCATGGGACTTTGTTAGGGTAGCACTAGCAAACTATTTTAGAGTCATTTTCTCAGTTTTGTAATGCCACCTTTAAAATGCCTAATAAGGAATGGGCCCCATATTTTGCCAATGGTAAAATCTCTATTTGTATGATGACATTTTTTGAAAGATTTATTATATTTCTATTGCAAAGTCAGACATAGAGAGAGGAGGAGAGACAGATGATTCACGCCCCAAGTGATTGCAATGGCTGGTGCTGTGCTGATCTGAAGCCAGGAGCCAGGAACTTCCTCCAGGTTTCCCAAGGTTCAGGGTCCCAAGGCTCCGGGCCATCCTTGACCACTTTCCCAAGCCACAGGAAGGGAGGGAGCTGGATGGGAAGTGGAGCCACTGGGACTAGGACCGGTGCCCACACGGGATCCTGGCGCCATTAAGGCGAGGACCTCAGCCACTAGGCCATTGCGCTGGGCCCTATATAATGAATTTTTAAACAGTTACCGTATGAGATTCACATTTACTATTTCAATTGCTTTTCACAAAGATGCTATCTGTATTAGTGATTCTCTTACATGTAAGGAACCTGAGGCATGGAATTAAGTCACCCATCCAAAATCACATATTTATTAATGTGTGTGTGTGTATGTGTGTGTTTGTGTGTGTGGTTGGGGGGGTGCTACCATTTGGAACTAGGTTGTCTGATTTTGGAGCTTATTTGCTTAATACATACTTGACCAATAATTTTTCTTGAAGTAGAGATACTTTACTTTCAAAGAGAGGATGAAGAAAAGGTGAGAGGATTCAAATCGGGTATTTGATTGCATGTGGGTAGAAGAGAAAGATTGTGTGTTTATGTATGCCTTTGGAATGAAACAAGAAAGGCAGGAAAAATGCACAAGACCACAAGAGAAGATTACCTTTTCATTGTGTCCAAAAAAACTATACTTCTTGAAAATAAAACTATCTTCAGCAAGTGTTTCAGAAGGTTTGAGGTGGGGCCAGGGAGTCTGAGTCAAAAGCAAAGTGCTTGCTGGTGATCTTGATGACCAGGCAGCTGGACCCTCTCCTGACGTGTACCTCTTTAATTGCAGAACTTGTCACTGAGCTTGTGCTTCCAGGAACAGAGAGCTCAGGCATCCTTTCAAAGTCTGGTTTTGTCCAAAAGTTGGAACTGTAGCATTTTTAAGGTCTTGCCAATTATCATGCTTAGAAAAGGTGTGACTTCTGATCCAACAGACCTATTACCACTAATCCCTCCAAGCCTCCCGCAAGAATGACAATATAGGAGTTATACATACATACAGGACATAAATATGCCAAAGTCAGAGAGAAGAGGAGGGGAGACAAGAACACTGAAATGTTGGAAGGTCAGGCCTCAACGATAGGAACAAAGCTTCTAAACAAACCAAAGCAGGCAACTAAGCTCATCAGACATTTAAAGGATGCTTGAAATATGAAAGTCAGTGGGGTAGTGGAGAGGTTGGGGTAAAGGCGAGAGGAAGCATAATGGCTTGGTTCTGTCACCCTGCACTCAGCCATGAAGCAGGCCCGGTAGAGTCTCTGTCTTACCTTGTGTGGCCAGAGGGATTTTGTCTTGAACTGGCCACTTTCATCCTGTTCATGGTGAACCAATGAGTCCCAACAGGAACTGTCCACATAGAGAGCCTGGCGGACACTGAAGTTGCTGGGAGGGAAGCAGCTGATTGGAGACCCTGGAGCAGGAACACAGCATTGAGGCAGCTCAGAGTTGGCATGGAGGAGAGGGTACCCAGTTTGCTACCAGCAAGTTTCTTTGAGCCTCCTCCACAACTCTTTTCTGATCTTGGTGCCTGGCAGGCATCGTCTTCTCCCCATACCTAGTTTTCTGGGTGAGGCTCTGCTATGTTATGGAGGGGCAGGGAATGGCAGAACAGCACCCCAGTGTTTGGTCCAGCTTACCAATGCACTGACTAAGCCTTTTAGATATGGCTGTTCTTTGCTTTTGGCCTACACCTTAGTTCCCAGAAAGGTAAGCAACCTGGACTTCCTGGTCACCAAAATCCTTGCAATGAGCTGGTATCTATAAGTTCTAAGAGAGAATTACTTGCCCAGACTTTGGAACCTAAATGAAGAGTGTTTGAAGGAAAGTGGGCTTTTTGTTTCCTCTTCTTTGAGAATGATGCCTAGCTTGGAACCAACACTTCTCCATTTCCTGTGGGTAACTGAAGAGGCAGCAGGAGGTTGGCAGACCTCACTGTAAAATACAGTAAGCTAATGGCACAGCCACAAAAGAAAGCCTGAAGTCTCCGTTCCAAGGACGTTCCAGGCTCTCTAATAGAGGTGGTGGGTTCGTTGAGTTAATCCTGCACCCAGAAGACTGGATTAGTATCTGCCATCTCAGATGGGCCAGGCTCAGTCCAGCACATGATAGACAGTCCCCAATCAGCAGCTTTGGAGTTGGGGGAGAAGGAAGGAAGAGGGTTTAGAGGCAACACGAGTCTTGGCAGTGCAGAGAGCTCAGAGGTTCTGAGAAGATCACAGGGCCCCAAACTCTTTCATCCATATGAAAACCAAGTTTAATTATTTAAATGACATAAAATATGTGAAAAATAAAATGATAGCTAATATTTTTAGAAAAGATAACGTTTCAGAGGTGACTTCTCAGGCTTTTGGGTGTATCTGCTCCATGGGCACATTAAATGCATGCATATGCCTTTTGGGTCACCTAACTCTGCCAGCCCAGAGTCATCAAGCCTACAAGGCTGATTACGACGGGAGCTCTTTGACTTCAGAGCCTGTGGCAAAGAGGGAAAGGAAGCTGGGGCTGCCTCACGCACTGATCTCAGAAGCAACTTACCAGAAGTGAACTCCTGGGCGAATGCCAGGGACATCAACAGCAAGGGGAAGCCCACAGCTACGAACTTGACCATCCGGTCCAGGGGCAGTTCCAGCTGCAGTCCTTTGAGGCGGGGTCCTTTGCGATCTGGCAGCAGGGCATCCGAGAGCATGTACTCAGCAGCGGTGTGTGCGAGTGACATGGTGCCGCTGAGCCCGCCTGAGCTGTCAGCCGGAGGGACCCCGGGAGAGGGGAGTGAAGAGCAGACAGCTTCAGCTAGCTTTGGTTTTCTGCAGGCAGCGCTGCAGCCCCAGCCTCACGGATGTCAGTGCTAAGGAGCAGGCGATGGTTCCCTAAATAACCTCCCCGGCCCAGAGCCAAGGTCCCCCGTAATTAGAGGGAGGCACAGACTTAGTAGGTCCTCTTTGGAGGAGGGTCGAGCTTCTCCAGCACTGGAGCAGAGTGTTCTCTCAGGACGGCCTGGAGCAGATGGCTTTATCCCGTCCTCTCATTAATGAAGTATTTTCAGCAAGACAGTAGCGGGGAGGGCTGTGGAGCCAGACCCCCCTTCCATGTAATTGGTGTGGAATTTGGGTGGGGGCTGCTTGAGCGTATAGAAGACCTTCATTTTGTGGTTTGGGGTGGAATGGAGTCCTGAGCTAGCTCTGCTAGCTTAGCTGCCTCTACAGAGTAGTCTTTGTTCCAATGATGAGTGGTATCCTGGTCCCCAGCTCCTTCCCCAAACTGCTGTGTATTTGGTATTAAATTTTATTCCCTGACTCTGGCCTTTTTTCCAAAATGTTTCCACCACAGATTTACAAATGTCCAGTTCCTTTCCAGTTTTCTTAGTTCTTTGGAAGGATGGTGGTGATGGTGGTGGTGATGGTGGTGAGGCTGAGTTCATGACAGTGCTGAGCTGTGCCAAGAGGGATGAATTCTCCCCTGGAGATCTGGTAGTGAGCATTTAAAAAAAAAACTATTTGACTGAAAGGCAGAATCTCTCTCTTTCTCCCTCTCTTCCATTGCTTTCCTAGGGGTGTTAGCAGGGAACCAGATCAGAAGTGGAACATGGGGACTCGAACCAGTGCTCTTATGGAATGCTGGAACTGCAGTTGATGGTCTAGCCCACTGTACCACAGTGTTGGCACCATGGCCCTTATGTTATAAATTGTGTCATTTCAGGCTACTGTTGACTTAGTTTTGTCATCTCTCAAATGGTAATATGTGATAATCTTACAAGATTGTGGGGCTTGGTTAGGAAAGAGTTCCCGCAATTAGAGGTATTTGAGGTTGTATCTGTCGTAGTCAAGTGCAGATTACAATAAAGTGATTAAAATAGTTTTTACTTTTGCACCCTTCTAAACACACTTTGGTGCCTGAGAAGGATGTGTGGGTGGGACTTTCCCTTGGGTGCATCCTCCCGAGGCAAGATTGTGCATGCACCCCCAGGCTTAAGGAATGGCTGGTTGTAGGGGTTTGGAAGGGATTTGGAAGTCCTGAGGTATCCACATTTGCAACTATTGTTGTTTTTACAATGTAGGACTTCGTTGGATTGAGGAGAGAAGACGATTGGGCCTGGGGCTCAGCAGAGTGTGAAGATTGTAAAATTGTAATAGGCATTCCTGATCACAGTGAAGGTTATATGAGTGCATGTATGTCAAGGTCAGCAGGGGAAAGATGTTTTAACAGCTTGGTTTATAACTTTGAACTTTTGAGATATATGTGATATGTGTGGCTCTCTATTTGAACTCTTCTTTTCTTGGGGCCCACAGATATTTGAAATGGGCCTGCCCCCTCTCTACTGTGCCATAGGCCAAAGAGACCAACTCTTTTTTTTTTTTTTCTTTCTTTATTTCTACCTTTTGATTTTTTTTTGTAAAATCTTATTTAGTTTGAGAGGCAGAGTTACACACAGAGGGCAGTACTAAGACACAGAGAGACAGAGAGAGAAAGAGAGAGACAGAGAGAGAAAGAGAATGAGGAAGAGAGAGAGAGGAAGGAAGAGAGAGAGAGAGAGAGACATCTTTCATTTACTAGTTCATTCTGCAAATGGCTGTATCAGCCAGGGCAGGACCAGGCCAATGCCAGGAGCTAGGAACTTCATCTGGATCTCCCATGTGGATGCAGGACCCCAAGACCTTAGGTCATTTGCTGCTGCTTTTCTGAAGTGGGAGCTGGGGAAACAGAGAGCTGGATCAGACGTGGAAGTCTGGAACTCCAACAGCCAGGAAGCCAAATGGTGTGCTGGCATTGCAGGTCACAGCTTTATTCCTTATACTGCTATGTCAGCCCCAAGGCCAACTCTTCTTTTACAGACACAAAATTTATGGGCCAAGGTTGTGGCATAGTGGGCAAAGTCATTGCCTGTGATGCTGGCATCCCATATGGGTACTGGTTCAAGTCCTGGCTACTTGGAAGATGGCCTAAGTGACTGGGCCCTGCACCCTGGTAGGAGACCTTGAAGAATTCTTTGGCTTCTGGCATTGGCCTGGCCTATTCCTGGCTGATATGGCCATCTGGGGAGAGAACTAATGCATGGAAGACCTTCTTTGCATGTCTAACCCTTTCAAGTATATAAATGTTAAAAGTTTATTTATTTAAAAGGCAGAGTTACAGAGAAAGGGAGATCTTCTGCCGCTGGTGTGGAGCCCTAGGTGTTGGCTTAATCACAGCTCAGGCTCCCAAGAGGCCAATTCCTATTCTGAGCTTTCCTGTGTGTGCTAACTGGAGTGACTCAGCTTTAGAACTAGAAGGAATTCTTCCCTTCTTTTTCTTATCAGCTTCTTCACATGCCAATTTATATCTTCTTTAAAAAAGATTTATTTATTTTTATTATTACAAAATCAGATTTATAGAGAGAGAGCTCTTCCATCCACTGATTCACTCCCCAAGTGGCTGAATGGCCACCACTGAGCCGATCCGAAGCCGGGAACCAGGAGCTTCCTTCAGGTCTCCCATGTAGATGCAGACTTTGGCCATCCTCCACTGTTTCCCCAGGCCACAAGCAGAGAGCTGGAAGGGAAGCGGGGCTACCAGGACATGAACCAGCACCCATATGGGATTCTGGTGCATGCAAGGTAAGGATTTAATCACTAGGTTACCATGCTGGGCCCTCCAATCTATGTCTTTTTAAGTTACATACACTTTTGTCAAATGCTTACAATGATTTATATGCTTATATGTTCTATTCTGATTTACACACATTAATATGCATGTGCAGTAAGTGCATAGTTCAGTAAATTTTCATTGAGAAAAGGAATATTATCAACACCTCAGAAACCACTCTGCTCTGCTTTCTAACATTTTTCCAAATAGTAACCATTATCCCAACTTCTGATGCCATAGATTCGTTTTACCTTTTGTGTACACTATAAACATGGAATCATTTGCACATACTCTTGCATGAATTTATTTGCAATAGATTATATTTATGAGAATCATCTATTTGTTGCCTGTTTTTGCACTTCATGCACATGGGAGTATATATGTGTTTTTTAATGTCTTGATTCTGCTCAACAATGGTTTTGATAATCTATCCATGTTGTGTACTTTAGAAATCCTTTTTAAAAAGATTTATTTATTTTTATTGGAAAGTCAGACTTACGGAAAAGAGTAGAGAAAGAAAGAAAGATCTTCTGTCCACTGGTTCACCCCCAGGTAGCTGCAGTGATGGGAGCTGAGCTGATCTGAAGCCAGGAACTAGGAACTTCTTCTGGGTCTCCCCTGCAGGCGCAGGGTCCCAAGCAGCCATCCTTCTCTCTTTTCCCAGATCCCAAGCAGGGAGGTGGGTGGGAAGTGAGGCTGCTGGGATACGAACCAGTGCCTATATGGGATCCTGGCATGTGCAAGGTGAGGACTTTAGTCACTAGGTTACTGCACCAGAACCCGCATTATATGTTTTAGAAAGGATTTATTATTTGAAAGTCAGAGTAACAGAAAGAAATGGGAGACAGAGAGAGAAATAACCTTTTATCTGGTGGATCACTCAGGTATCTTCAAGAACCAGAAATGGGCCCAGGTTGAAGCTAGGCGTTAACAGCTTTATCTAGGTCTCCCATATAGTAGTAGAGGCCCCAAGCCATTGAGACATTTTCTGTTGCTTTCTCAGGCCTTTAGCAGGGAGTTGGATAGCAAGTGGAGAAACCAGAACACCAACTGGCACCCACTTGACGTGCTGGCATCATAAGTGATCCTTCTACCTGCTACTCCATAACACCAGCCCCTGTGAATTATCGTTAACCTACACAGCTGATATGTTGTTTCTTATGTTGTTTTTTACTTTAAAACTCAGCATGTCTCTAAAATCAATCTGTGTTATTTGATCAAGTCCAATCTGTTATTTCTACTGATACTAAATACTTAGATCTGCCTACTTACTAGTCTATAGCTACTCAGTTTGCTTCTGTTTCTTATACCTCAAATAATGTGCAGATCCTCTTAGGACCTGGAAGGAAAATCCAATTATGAAACATAACCAGGATCAGATTGTCTAGGTCCTCGACACAGGAGTGGGTGGTGTCCTGCCAGAGTGCCCCATCAGGCCTGCAAACATCATTTGGTTTGGCCCTACTAATGCTACCACAGGTGGGAATTAAAATTCTGTGAATCCATAGCCAGCCTATTGTTGGTAATCTTGTAAGACCTATGAATTGTGTTCTAAAGCTCCAAATGGCCCTTGATAGAAAGAAACTTCTGTACTTCAATAGTCTAAAGTGATACTTTATTTTAATTTACATTTCTTTTGATAAGTAATAATTTTATTTATTCATACATACTTGATCAATTTCTGTGCAAAAGTTACTTAAAAACTTAGAATAAACAGACACTGATTGTTTCTTAGATTCTGTAAGTCATGTTTGGTAGTACTGTAACTGGCTTTCTCTGCCTAGGAGTTGCACATAAAGTTGCATTCGAGAAATTGACTTCAATAACCTGAGGCCCTGATTGGAAGTGGAATTCAAATCCCACATGATTCACTGAATTGTTTTTTTTTTAAGTGAAGATTATTTATTTATTTTAAAGGCAGAATTACAGAGAGAGATCCTCTATCTGCTGATTGACTCCACAAATGGTAGCACTGGCAGGACTGGTCTAGACTGAAGCCAGGAGCCACAACCTTCTTTTGGGTCTCCCATGTGGTTGCAGGGGCCCAAGCACTGGGTCATCTGCTGCTTTCCCATGAGTTTAGGAGGAAGCTGGACT